AACAAATCGATGCAGGGAATGGGCAAGTCTTCGGAGTGAATGAGAACAGATCGATTTACACCAGGCAAGAGGGGGCCTGGGCACAGGTGCCCGGGCACCTGTCACATGTGACGGTGGGCCCAGCTGGAGTCTGGGGAGTCGATAGTGCCAATTTTATCTACAGAATGCGGGGAGGATCCTGGATTGTCATGAATGGTAAGACAGCGGAACATTCTGGAACTCATTGAAATCTGTTTCATGAGGAAGATTCCTCACCTCAGGGCCTGTTTGGCACAAACCAAGGGAGATGCCTCTTAGGTCTGAGATGAGGTGAAATGATTTCCCTCAGGGGGCGACACTTCTTTGGAATTCTCCGCCCCTGAGGGCAGCGGAAGTTCATTCTTTGAGCATTTTTAATGTAGAGCTTGATGCATTCTTGATTACTGAAGGGGTAAATGTGGGTGGAAGGCATTGAAATGTTCGGCCGGCCACCATCGCGTTATATGACGGGACAGGCTCTCCAGCCTGAATGGCCTTCTCCTTGCTCCTACATTCCTAATCTTCACATCTACAAGGAGGACTGCACCCATTGGTGGTTGGATGTGCATTTAATTCTCTGTTTTTTTTTAACAGGCCTGCTCAAACAGATTGATGCTGGTGGAAATGGCTTTTTGGGTGGAACTGACAAGAACAATGATTTCTTCTGTGTCAATGAAGAAGAAGCAAGATCTGCTACCACTCCTTCCAGCCCAGTGTACAACCATATTAGCGGCAAACTCACCTTCTACTCCTGTGGGCTGTATGGTTGTTGGGGGGTCAATGCAAACAATGATATCTATTTCCGATCAAATGTGACCCCGGGTCAATGTGTTGGAAGCATTTGGGCGCTTATACGTGGTAAACTCTCGATGATCGAGACTGGCACAGATGGAAGCGTATATGGTGTCAACAGTGACGGCAAGGTCTTCCGCAGGTCCAGTTCAAGCTCACTGCACCATAAATTAAAACCTCCTGCAGGGCATTTAAGACTCAAAACATTCTGAGGTAAGTTACAAACTAAAGATGTCAACAAACTATGCAAGACAATGTTATTGTAGATGGCCGCAGGCTTGGCGGCAGGTTGGCAGAGGGAGCTTGAAGCAGGAAAGAATGGTTGGCGATGTTTAATGAGGGGATTCCAGAGCTCAGGGGACCAGGCACTGACCTTAGAGCCACCAATGTGCTCCTGATGAACAGCGCTGTCATTCAGGGAGGGAAGGGGATCCTGGAGGGTCGTGGGGCTGGACAAGGTTACAGAGACACGGAGTTCTGTCGCGGTTGGGTTAGGTTACAGAGAAGGGGAGGAGTGTATGTGCTGGAGAAATGTACAGAGATAGGGAGGGGCGTAGGGACTAGAGGAAGTTCCAGAGATATGGAGAATGTTTTGTTTGGACAAAGTTACAGAGATAGGAAGGGGTGTAGGACCTGAAGGAATAAGAAGGGTTGTAGGGGCTAGGTGAAGTTACAAATACGGGGAGATGAGTAGGGGCTGCAGGAGGTTTGTGAGGCAGGACTGTAAGGGTTGGAAGACTTATAGAAATTCCTTTATTCATTAGTGGGAAGATGGCATTGCTTTCAGACAGCATTTATGCCCATCCTTAATTGCCCAGAGGGCAGTTCAGAGTCAACACATTGCGGCTGGGTCTGGAGTCACTTGTAGGCCAGACCAGGTGGGGATGGCAATTTTCCTTACCAAAGGACGTTAGTGAGCCAGATTGGTTTTTCTGATAATGGATATGTGGTCATCATTAGACTCTTAATTTCGTACGTTTTATTAAATTCAAATTCCACCAATTGCTGTGATGGGGTTCAAACCCAAGTCCCCAGAACATTATCTGGGTCTCAGGATTAACAGTCCAACAATAATACCTCTAGGCCATTGCATCCCCAATTCAGAGAGATTACAGAGATAGGGAGAAGTGTAGCGACTGGAGGAAGTTACAGAAATAGGGAGGAGTATAGTGACTGGAGGAGGTTACAGAGATAGGGAGGGGTGTAGGGCCTGGAGGAGGTTACAAAGATAGGGAGTGGTGCAGGTGCTGAAGGAGGATACTGAGGTAGGGAGTTTCGTGGCTGGTGGAGATTGCAGTGATAGGGAGGAGTGTCAGGGTTGATGGAGTTTACGGAGATCGGAAGGGTTGTAGGGAATTGAGGAAGTTCCAGCAATAGGGAGAAACGTGGGGGTTGGAGGAAGTTAGATATAGGGATTGGTGTAGGGGCTGGAGGAGTTGTAGATTGGGAGGAGTGCAGAGACTGGAGGAAACTTCAGAGATAAAGAGGAATACAGGCCTCTGAAGAGATGTGTAATCGATTTTGAGAATTCTGAGTTGTCACTTGACTGGAAGGTGACTGAAGTCAATGAGAGCAGGGATACAGAGACTTGATGCGTGAATGAGAGTTGGTACCAGTTTGGGGATGAGACAGCAAAGATTCACATTCTCTGAACTTCACAGGGTTAAGAACTTGAATGGAGACCATGAGACTTGTAAGGTCACTTTTCAACTTGGGTCATTTCTATTTTGCAGAGATGGGATCACCTCCAAGCAACCAACTGGGACAAACTGGAGTCACATCAGCATTGGGCAGATAAGATTCAAGCACGTGACTGCAGATCTGGGCCAACTGTGGCTGACAACTACCAGCAACAATATCATTCACTGCCAGTAGCTTCAAGAAGCAGCAAGTGTGATCAACAATCAATTGAAAATCAATCCGTTCTTTCAATGATAAGGGAATAGGTGTCACTTATTTTCTTTCTGTCTCTTTTTAAGATTATTCTGCTCTTGCATTGCACGAAGGAATTCCCGCTGGCCGTAATCCAGACCTGGAAAGGTTTTCATAGAGGAGGAGATCAGGCTCACGTCTCAAGGGGCTTACACCAGAACTGGAGGAGGCCATTCAGCCCTAAAACCCAACTGCAGCAAAACAGGAGGAGGCCATTCAGTCCCTCAAACACAGTTATGACAGAACAACAGGAGGCCATTTAGCCCTCAAACCCAGTCATATCAGAATGGAAGGAGGCCATTCAGTCCCTATAAACTCAACTACACCAGGACAGGAGGAGGCCATTCAGCCCCAAAACCCTATTGCATCTGTTTATCAGCTTCTGGAGTTGAATGACCTCCTGCTCTTGTTGTGGTGAGCATTGTGGTTTGCAAAAAAAGCCACATTTCATTTTTGTTCACTTTTGTCATGAATCCATGAAATCCAAAGTCACAGCTCTGGGAAAGGAATTGCTTATTCGTCTTGCTGGCTGTTAACTCATTTGTGAGGAAGGCACATTGCTCTTACGTTGCTAACAGTTAGCAAATAGCAACAAACTAAGTCATGGCGTGAGGGTTTGGTTTACTGTCTGATCTCCTGGTCAAAAAGGGAGGAGAGAGTTGTGTAACAGTTCAGAGAGGCTGCAAAGGGCAGTTTGGGTAACTACAGGGCAACGGATCCATGGATGATGCATCAATTATCCAATATAGCCTTTCTTGTTCCAAAGGATTGAAAGACCTGTAAAGTGTGAAGTCGCAGCTCCATGATATTGTATGAGGTGGTACAAACAGCTGAACAAATTGGTGAGGCCCATTCCAAGTTTAAATTGTCTTCCACTGATTATTGTTTACTGACTTGCATGTTGATTTTGCTTCAATTGCTCATATAAAGATTGTTTTGCAGGTGAAAGCATGTCTGTTAATGTCTTTTCATCAATATTGTCTGGGGACCCATTCATATTTTATTATTCATCTCCAAGAGGGATGATGAAACTGTCAAATAAATGTGATGGTGCTTAATGGCCACCCTCTGTTTCTGTTGTAAATCGGTCTTTGAGCCTGAATGGCCTCTCGCTATTTCTAAGTTGGTTTGAATGCATTCCTGGGCGTTTCGCTATGTGAGGATGCATGTGCGTATTTTTTAAGTGCCATTCTTTCGGCGTGAGCACAGGTACATTGCACAGACATAGCCGCAGTCACAAAGGTTTATTTAACAGCACCTTCCAAACAAACAAGTTGTACCACCTAAAGGAACATGACAGCAGTCGATGTTATGGGCCTAGACCCTTCATCAGGACACAGGACACCAACATCCTGTCAAACCTGTCCCAGCCCCTATATTCAAAGGCCTGAGCAATTAAGGCAAACATATTAAATGCCTTCTTAACTACCCTGCCTACCTGCAATACAACTTTCAAAGAACTATCTAACCGAGACCCTCGGTCACCATCTTTGATGACATGACCCAGTGCCCCACCATTAACTGCATATGTCCTTACCTTGTTTGTTTTACCAAAATGCAATACCTTGCTTTTATCCAAATTAAATGCCATCTGCCACTCCTCAGCCATTGGCCAATCAATCAAGATCCCGTTACAATCTGAGATAACCTTCCTCACCGTTGGCTGAACCACTAATTTTGGTGTAATCTGAAAATCTACTAACCACGCCTCCTAAATTCTCATCCAAATCGTTTATATAAATTACAAACAAGAGTGGACCCAGCACCGATCCCTGCGGAACACCGCTGGTCAAAAGCTTCCAGTCCAAGAAAACAACCCTCCACCAGCACCCTCTGTCTCCTACCATCGAGCCAATTTTGTATCCAATTGGCAAGATCAGGCTAAATTCCACACGATCTAACTTTACTATTTAGTTTACCACGTGGAACCTTGTCAAAGGCTTTTCAAAAGTAGATAATGTCTACTGCTTTACTCTTTTTGGTTACATCCTCAAAATACTCAATCAATTTTGTGAGACATGATTTTCCACACTCAAAGCCACGCTGACTATCCCTATCAGTCATTGCCTCTACAAATGCATGTAAATTCTATTTCTCAGAATCCCCTCCAACAACACCAATGCACAGACTCATAAGTCTATAGCTCCCAGGCTTCTCCTTACAGCCTTTCCTAAATAAAGGCAGAATGTTAGCCACCCTCCAGACTTCCAGCACTTCACCCATGGCTGTAAATAATACAGCCCAAGAATAAGGGGTAAGCCATTCAGGACTGAGTTGAAGAAGAATTTCTTCACAGAGAGAATCATGACCCTGCGGAATTCTCTCTGATAGGTAGGTGGCGAGGCCAGTTCCATAGATATATTCAAGAAGGAGCTGGACTTGGCCCTCGCGGCTAAGGGGATCACGGAGAGAAAGTGGGAGTGGGATACGGAGATTGCATCATCAGCCGTGATCATATTGAATGGTGGTGCATTCTCGAAGGGCTGAATGGCCTATTCCTTTGCAGACTTTCTACGTTTCAACACACATGTCTCTGCTAAAAGCCCCACTATTTCTTGCTTAACTTCCCACAATGTCCCAGGATGCACCTGTACAGACCCCAGAGATTTATCCATCTTCATGTGTTTTTTTTAAGAATTCCTCTTCTTTGGAGGTTGGAGAGTTTCAGAAGGCGAATTCTTCACGGTAATTTCAGCCAGCGCAGGATTTGGACCCAGCCTGTTGACATCCTTCTGCATCACAACCCAGAGGACTCATGAGGGGTAGCGTCCCTACCTTCGAGACAGGAGGCCCAAGTTCGAGTCTCACCTTCTGCCGTGGCGTGTAATGACATGTCCGAACAGGTGGATTAGAAAATAGTTTTCTTTTCGGCATTGCAAACCAACTAAAACGGTGAACCTCAATATGGGCTGCAAAAAAACTCATGCACTGAAAGGTTTGATACACGTGCAAAGTGTCACGTCAATGAGTCCAATTCAAAATACAGCTAACCTCTGGCGTTTACTTCGGGCTTTAAAAGATGTCAAACCATTTTTGGTTCCAAAACTTATTCTGATTTTAAAAGTTATTCGCCGGTCAAAGCCACAACGCGGTGTGTCGTTGCAAACGCACGAACACTCTCCAACCTGCGACCAACCTCGAAACCGCCCGACGAGGCGGACGTTTCTCCTCGGCTGAGGGCACACTTGAAACCGCTCAACCGTCCACCCACATTCAAAGAGGGTCGGACGGAGGGCGGCCTTGAAACTGCTAACGGCTTCAGGGCGCGCGGCTCGCCCAAGGCAAGGGGCGTGGCAGCTGCAGGCTCAGTCTGATCTCTAATGCCGATAATTGAAGCCCGTTCCCGCCTTTATAACCGTCGCTAATCACCAACGGGGATGCTCCTGGAGATTTCCACCTTCACTCTTCCTCCATCTAATCTCTCCACTTCAGCATTTCCCTCATGCATTCTTAACAAAGGTATGATTTAAACAGAATTTTTCTGATGTAAAATTTACCGTGAAGTACACATATTGACCTCGCTGTTTCCCAAACGCGAACCTCGATCGTTGTTGAATTGTTGATCTCCATTCCACTGCCTATGTTTAAACTTCGTGAAGAGATGAGTTGGACCCATGCGTCCCCAAAATCGATTCTCATCACGGTCTCTCATCTCCATTTGTTCACATCTCCATTTCTTCATTCCTCGCCCACAAATATCAAAGCCGATCCTGGACCAACGCAGAATCCGCTTCAGCCTTCCAAGATTTCCCTCTGGGAGCTCAGGGACACGGTCAACTTGAATGCTTCTGCACACGGGGACACACAGCAGCCTCATTCTTCTACTCAGAATTTGTAGTTCAAGAGATGAACCATATATTGTGGAAATACTGCAGATGACAGAGAGGACAGCAGGGGCAGAGTTACAGAGAGGGTGAGGGAGCAGAAACAAAAGAGTGATACTTATCCTTGCAAGACTAGACAAGATCACTGAGCTCTTTGCTGTATTACTGTACAACCTGTGACAACCAGAAAACAACACTGACTGGGACTGCTACCCATAAGCAGGCCTTGTATGGTGGGAACTGTGGCTGCAGAGCAGCACACTCTCAGCACTGACCCTCCGACAGCGCGGCGCTGCCTCAGCGCTGATCCTCCGATAACGCGGCGCTGTCTCAGCCTTTGTTATTGACAGGTTAAATCAAACATGGGGTTTGAATCTGTGAAATTATTGGATAGGTAATGAATTCTATCTGATGAACGATCACCTGTCGTGAAAGAATATAATCCTGTTTTCGGTATGTCACTCCATAAATCAGAAAAGCTTTGTATTGTTGATGTAACTAGACTTATATCTCTTAGCATTCATCCTGGAATATTAATCATGAAAATATAGAGAATGATAAATTATTCTGAATTGTTAACTTTTACCACAAACCTCAGTTTGTTCTTCTCGAATGAAATCAGGAGGTTTAGAGGGAATTTGAGGGTGGCGGGAGTCTGGAATGCCTGGGAGGGTAGTTGAGGCGGGAAACCTCACAACCTTTAAAAAGTACTTGGATGAGCAGTTGGGAATGTCATCGCATCCAAGGCTGTGGGCCCAGTGAAGGAAAATGGGACTCAGGTAGTAATAGCGCAATTTTGTTGGTACAGACTCAATAGGGCCTCTTCTGTACTGAATGATTCAAAGATTCATAGAATCCCTACAGTGTGGAAACAGGCCACTCAACCCAATAAGTCCACACGGCCCCTCCGAAGAGCATCCCACCCAGACCCATTTCCCTACCCTTTCCCTGTAACCCAGCATTTCCCATGTCCAATCCACCCAACTCACACACCCCTGGGCGCTACGGGCAATTTAGCATGGCCAATCCACCTAACCTGCACATCCTTGGACTGTGGGAGGAAACCAGAGCTCCTGGAAGAAACCCACACAGACACGGGGAGAATGTACAAACTTCACATGGACAGGTGCGTGGAATTGAGCCCAGGTCCCTGGCACTGTGAGGTAGCAGTGCTAACCGCTGAGCTGCTGTTCAATTCTGTGAAAAGAAGATAGCAACATGGGCTGTGGATTGCATAGTAAAGAAGTACATTTG